TCTGCGGCATGAGTTCAAAATACAAAATTCCTTTGTGATCCCACCACACTGACAGCATAATCTTTTTTTGGTGAATCTCTGCTGCTTTTGATACTGTTTGGGCTGGTTGATCTTGCTTCACCCATGATCTCTTGCGAGTAACATTGTTATAAACTATCCACTTTTCGTCGCCAGTAACTAGGTTCTTCAGAAATGGATCATTCTCATTGCGTTTCAGTAGCGGCGAATCACAGATGCTGATCCGTTGCGTCAAATGAATTTCCTTTAACTGGTGAGGGATCCATAAATCAAGTTTCTTGACATAACATAGGGTGTTTAATTTTTTTCAATGCATGTATGTGACACATTGAGCTTCTCTGCAATATCTCATGTTGTGCTGTGACGATTTGAATCGATAATGGCCTTGATATGGGTTTCATCCACTTCGACTGGGCGGCCAGATCGTTGTGAATTTTTCAGTGAAAAATCACCGGAATGAAATCTTTCAAACCAATTTCGACACTGCCTTTCTTCCTCACGGCTTCATCTCCATATACGGCACATAACTTCTTTTGTGCTTGCGATGCGTTCTTGCCTTTTCGGAAGTAATACAATAAAATGTGTCGGAAGTGCACGTCCTGTTCTTTCATTTTTAAATTGGGATAAAAACAAAACTAAAGAACTAAACAAAAAAATTTTTTACTAATTAACCTAGAAGCCCATACAGTAAGAAAAAAATACAGGTTAGATGCTCTGGCCACGTTAACAAAACAAAAGAAAGTATAGAGTGAATCCGTCAACAAAAACGGCAATGACTTAGTTGCCCACCTAATAATAACAGGAATTTAACGGTTTCACCAAATTGTGCTGATGACATCCGAATTTCTTGGCTAACTATGGATGAATTTTCGCTCAAACTCGCATATCCATGGTCAAGTGTGCAATTGCGATAGAATCACGCGCTGGTAGGTTGAAAACGATGACAACCTGGGTTGGGTCACAACAACTGTCCCAGAAACACATGTATTTCTTTGTTTTCTCGATAGCAAAAAATCTGCATTTTCATGCCAAATTTTAAAAGACCAGAAGAAGTTATTCATTTAGGAGAGGTTCAGTGGCATGAGCTATCGATCACCTCCAAATAATGCACCCATTCCATTCCATCTCCTAGGCTAAGCCAGAATTGGCACTTCCGACACTGCTTCCAGACATTTGGCGGGATGTACGGTGTAGAACGTGAAATAAACCCTGACGAATAGACAAAACCACGCGAAATAATTATAGACGACGTCTATTATTTTCAGCAATTGGGAAGACCAAATCGGCTATTAAAGGAACAGCGCGTCCGAGTTTAATCGAATAGAAATGGGATGGTAATGCACATGACAATGCCTGGCCTACCCCCACAAAATTCAGGAATCGAATTGACAGGTTTTATCAAATCCTCCCTGGCCCCCATTTTCTTCTCGCCCTGTTTTTGTGAATGGAGGAGCATGCTCGCAGAGAAACCTATTTTAAAATACGATTGAAGTGTAGAAAAAACAATCGAAGGAACAATATCACTTAAAAAAAACAAATTTACTGTCTAAAAATGGATAAAAAACACACGAGAAATGAGGAGAATTAGCTAATTATAGCGGAAGTTAAATTATATCGGACCGTACACGCATTTAAAAAGACGAAAAATATTTACATTGATGTTGCTCATAAAATGCGTGATTTAGAGCAATTTTCATACACATCAACATTTGATCATTTATTTATTTATAACAAATGATAGGCTTTATGGTAGCTATCATTAGCCCTTTAATTGACTTTGGGCCTCACAGAGAGGAGGAGGAGGAGGAACATCAAAGTGACAAAATGTCGAGAGGGGGATAGAATAATGATTCACAGATGTAAAACCGAGAGGGGGACAGAATAATGATTCACAGACGTAAAAGAGCAAGATGGGGGATAGAATAATGATTCACAGATGTAAAAGAGACGGACAGGCAGACATAAAGGCGGAGAAAAAGATAAGGTGAGTACTGTGAAAGTAGAGGACTATGAAATACAGTAGGGGCCATGATAATTTTAAGTCAGAAGCTAACTGCCGGTTTATAGACTATTTTGCCGTATGGGTATTCGTTGCCCAGGATGCACCACGTAGAGGTAAGTCTATTGCACACCGCGCGAGTGAGTAAATAAGGCTTTATATAGATTATACACCGTGAGACAATCGACATATCACCAATATGTCACCATAAGGAGGCAAATTTGAGGTCAAAGTGAGCCTACATGAAAAAGATTTGAATGGTCAACTATCATACCTAATACTAGTCAATATGGAAGTAATTAAATGGGTTTTTTCCACGATAACGGAGGCAAGGAATGATTTCTCTTCCTTCAAAGCGGCACATAAATAAAATAGATTTTAGATAACCTTGAACATTGAGAGACATCACCAAAAGGCGATAAGCAAAGCGCAATAGGTATCTTGAGAGCATGGCATTAGGGAAAAAGACGAAAAAGACCATTGGACATGAAAAGAACTAACAATACAATAATCTGGAAGTAAAATCAGTTTCGATTGGTGGTGGGATACGATTTCACCACAAAGTGAAAACAGTCAACCGCAAGAGCGGTTAGGAGCGTGCAAACGAATCTTTGACAAATAGGAAGGAAGTTTCCCAGGGATGGGTCTTCAAAAATCACTAGTTATTAAACAAGACAGTTAGCTGACAACCGATATTCTCATTAAAAGAGAGGAGATATATATATATATATATATAGGAGAACAGGAAATAGATTGGTGGAAGGAAAAAGAAGAATATCTTTAGATATTCATTGATTTTGGATAAAAAAACTACATTCCTTCTAAAAGGACAGTTAATTACAAGCCCAAAAATAAATGTGCCAAATGAATATTACTAAAGTGAATTCAAGAAAATTTCATTCGCGATATTAGGAAACAATTTATTTTATTGATCAAGAAAAAAATTAACCAATGTAATATGGTAAAAGTGATTGATATCAAAACATTTGATACTTTAAAGGAATTTCGAAAGACATCAAAATTAGGAGGTTTATGCCAAATAATAATAGCAAGCGTCTATTACAAGCTCAATACTGCCACATTCCCGTTCCTTGGAATCTCTGCGACACAGGTTGACTTTAAACACTTTCCATGCGAGGAGCATCAGAGGCTGTTTTCTTTCGTATTCATAAATTGCTTAGCTTCTACAGGGGCTGGCAGGGTGATTGTTGTCTCCCGACGGTACCCAATACACATATAACAGGCCGGTGAGTTATGACAAGAGGGGTGAGTGGAGTTCGGAAACCAAACTTTGGGGCTGATTTCGTGGTAAAAATTAGATGAGGAATACTTACTCCTCTTCTGGAAAAAGACGAGGCAGGAGCCGATTCTTGCTGACAAAATACATCTTTCCCACTATTGAACAGTCTCCTTTTCCACCACATAACTACCACAGTTCCCAACAATTCCATATAGTCATTTCGATTCAACCTATAGCCCCCCGCCCCACTCTTTCAATAAATCCAGAGTTGGGCATCACATCAAACCATGGAGGACACGTCTGAAAGTGCTCTTTGGACTCTGTGCAAACAGTGGCCTCAATTATTCTGTCTGCTCTACTTCTCGTCTTAGCATAACTTATTCCCATTGGAACAAAAAAACAACTTGTATGCCCATCAGCAAGACAATTCACTTTACTCAAAAGCTTCTTCGCCTTTGTTAGACCATTTGAGTGATAAGTTCACCACTGCGACACTTGTGTGAGGTTGTAGTAGCAAAGGCCTACATTGAGTGCAGCTCCATGGCAGAGAGACTGGTGCACTCGTTAATCAGAAATGACACTGACCAACTTCCGATAACAGGAAGCTCCACTCTTAGAGTTTTAGGTTCTTTAACGAAAAGATTGAATGAATGAATGTAGCGCACACGCTTATAGAGCGAACTAGACGTCTACCTCCACAGTACGATGAGACGTGCGATGCAAGAAATGTGAAGCCTAAATAAGAGGATTGCGCGAATTTGCGTGGGATCAAAGGAAATGTATCAATTTCAACCCACTTATGAGCAAGAGATTACAAGTGGCAAATAAAGATTTCAGGCCACCCTTTTTTTCATAAATAAGTTCGAAAATTGCGAACTCGTTTGAAGGAAAGTGCTTTCAAACATTAATATGAAAGTGGGTTCCGCTTTCACTTTTTGATTACTTTTAACTGGACAATGCATTACCTGGTTACGTTTTACTATATTTCATTAAATTCGTGACCTTTGACTAGGCGTAGAAACATAATGATAGATAAGAAAGTTTACGATACTATAACCTTTTGCCAACAGGAATTCAGCAACTATAAAGAGTTTTAAAATGCTATCAACTCCAATTTATTGAGGCAAGATAGACATCAAAGTTTAGTTGGTTGAACGTGAGTAATTTTAGTCAGAGGGTTAAATTATGCGGTTGTGAGATAATCAAATGATATTTGATACAAATCGATAGGGAAGACTCAACCAGCATTAATTCCTAACGAAGAAACCTCGCATTCCTGTGTTATAAAATGTAAGAAGTTGTTAAGTGAATGTTTCCAAGAAAAGCTAAACAAAAGGAATTTCTATGAGTAAATAGCCAAACACAATAAATATAAATAGGTAGATGTACTGATAAAACAGGGATGGAAATTCACAGATCATGCGACGAGTATCCTGACAGCAGCATCCAAGTCCACTTTCGAAATTGGGTAAACGAATGCACCATGAATAACGAGATGTGCACAAAACAACTACATCATTAAGTAATGAATGAAATTCAAAACCAGGTAGGTTAAATATAATCGAACTCACCCTAACAACACACTCCGTATGAGGAGACAGTCGACCTGATGAGCATCGGTAGAGTTCTTCTCCTGAGTCACGCACAAGAACACCCTCAATTCGAGCAAGTGATTCGCCGTATCGATCGACAAAGTCGATATGCGGAGAGGAAGAGATGAGAACAAGTTGAACAATGCGGAGAAGACGCTGGGTGGAGAGGCGAATCATGATACAGCAAGCACCGACAGAACTAACTTCTGGATGAAGGTAGGGCTGAAGCACAACTGGTTTAGAAGCGAATTCAGCGGAACCACTACCTGCTGATAGATCGCTAAAAAGACCAAGAGCAGATGTTCTTTATACAGCCTAGTAGAGATATAAAAAAGACACAGAAACACATACTGATTATTATTTACTTAATTATCAAAATTGACTAAAAGGTAACAAGCGATTGCCAATAACGATTTAAAATCTTGGTTATAAGATCGAAACAAAGAACGGTGTCGATGTTGAGAGACATATTAGAGATAAATAACTTTTAAACTCTGAAAGCATTGCAATAGGCAAGAGAACCAATGAAAATAAATAATAGATCTGGCCACATAATTTCAGATAACATGCGGTTTTTATAAATACAATGAATGGAATCATACCTAAGATGACATCTTGCAGATGCCTGTTCAGCCGCAAACAGGCAGGATAGACAAAGAAAACAGCCATTCTGGAGTGGAAGCTACGCACCGCAATTGTCAATTACACATTAACACTCCATTCATTAAATTAAGCCAATGAAATATTTATTAATTTATATCAAATGGCAGGCGTCTTGATGGTTATCATTAGCCCTTTAGTTGCCTTCAGGCTTCGCAGAGGGGAATGAACATCAAAGTGAAAAAGTCGAGAAGGGGGTGGGAATAGAAGAGCGTTTCAAAGATGTAAAAGAGATAGACACAAAGGTAGAACAAAGGTGAGGCTAGGACTGTGGAAGTAGTCGAATATGACATAAAATGGGGTGATGGTGATTTGAAGTGAGAAGTCAACTCCCAGTTAATAGACTTTTGTGCCGTATGAATATACGTTGCCCAGGGTGCACCACGTGGGGGTAAGTCTATTGCACACCCCAGCCAATGAAATATAAAGACCACCTATTTTCCAGCTCTCCATTCAAGAATATGGGTCTTTCGTTTTTGAATGTAAAGACAACATCAATTTTAGGCGAGAACCTCATCTTTTCACCTAACAATTTATAGGCCAAAAAATTTGACTGTTCAACCGAAATAGTAGGATAAACGCCACTAAAAAGGCGTTCACTGTCCAGGCTTGATCATTTCTAGCCCGATTGCTCAGGGTGCACTCAAAAATTTTTTTATCAAAACAAAGCAAGAGAGGAGGAGGAGGAGGGGGGGGGAAGAAATGCACTTAAATGGGGGGGGGAAATTGATGCAACACCTCGAATGTGCAAAAAATTGCAAAAAGGACTAACACGAAAAAGACGTTCGAAGTAGCGGATAAAATCTATTTAACAAGAATAATTAAAGAAATCGACCAGCCAAGCACCTCGAGTATGGTAATGCAATGCTACAAACATAGTATGTTCCAACTTGGAAAGCACAAAATCCAAGGAGACAAGACAGCAGCTCATGATTGAAGGAGAGGAGGTGTGATGCCATAGAGCACCAGGTGGATGAAACCCGCCTTTGCCTCGATTAGAAAGTAAAGCAGCTTACATATTTGTGTGTGTGACATTTTTTACCAACAGAGTGAAAAAAATTGCAAAAAGGACTAACACGAAAAAGACGTTCGAAGTAGCGGATAAAATCTATTTAACAAGAATAATTAAAGAAATCGACCAGCCAAGCACCTCGAGTATGGTAATGCAATGCTACAAACATAGTATGTTCCAACTTGGAAAGCACAAAATCCAAGGAGACAAGACAGCAGCTCATGATTGAAGGAGAGGAGGTGTGATGCCATAGAGCACCAGGTGGATGAAACCCGCCTTTGCCTCGATTAGAAAGTAAAGCAGCTTACATATTTGTGTGTGTGACATTTTTTACCAACAGAGTGAAATGCGCAGGAGTTACAACTAAAATTAGACCGTGTTTCCAAGAGGGGAAAAAGCCTTACCAGCAATAGAGGGATTATTTTTACTCAATGAGAATAGAGAAGCTCTTAATTTAATGCCGAGAGGCCTATTTCGCTTCTTAACAACAATTTATGGCCCAATTTGGAAGTGAGGTGTAACTAATTAGCAGTAAGTGGATTAACCGAATCTGGTACTTGGATCATCAAGTCAAGTGTATCAATAGAGACCTAACGTACGCATTAAATATGTATATATATATATATATATATATATATATATATATATATATATATATATATATATATATATAATCTTTAAATAGAGATGGCTAATTATCAAGGGTGTCTTAACCCAATATATCTCAATGCTCTATGACATCTGCCAAGTAGCAAAGTAGTAATTTAGATTGAGGTACTTTAATCGATCATTTTGGACTCCAGTTGAAGAAAATCATGAGGCAGAAAGAACTTTCGCATTTAAAAGTACATTATTAATTAGAACTCAAATTCCAGAGCATAATAGGTGGCCTTCATGAGTTGGTAAAACATTTTCCTTTGATTTCAATTTTCCACTTTGAAAGCGGATATCCGCTGTATTGAAAAATAAAAAACAGGGTGCAACGTTACAGGAGAGATTAATTTGGAAGGCACAGATAATTATGAATTCATAACTACATAATTTTAGTTTAAGTTTAGATTTGAAGCCAAAAAAATAATAAGGACACCTCGAATCCATGATAAATATAATTGAACTAAAGTAGAGCTAAGACCTAAATGAGGCAGAAAATCTGAACTTAGTACGATTTCACAGGGAAAAAAACTTAAATTTCCTTTGAAATTGAAGACATTGAAGTTATATATCCCCGTCCGCGAACCGCCCCCCCCCCCACCCACCCAAAAATCTGTCACTGAAATGCCCCTTAAATGACCGTTTATTAATAGTAAACTGGGTCTTCGAAGAATACAGTCAATAGACAGGACCGAAAATTAGAGGCAGTTGATAAGATTTAATCGAAGCGATTTAGAGTCAACATGGGGTGTGCGATAGAATTACCTCCACGTGGTGCACCCTGGGCAACGTATACTCATACTTCAAAAAAGTCTGTTAACCGGCAGTTGACTTCTGACTTCAAACTGCCATCACCCCCACTGTATGCCATATTCGACCCCTTTCACAGTACTCATCTTAACTTTTCTCTGCCTTTTTGTCTGTCTCTGTTGCATCTGCGAATCATTATTCTGTCCACCCCCCCCCCCTCTCGACTTTGTATCACTTTGATGTTCCTCCTCCTCCTCTCTGTGAAGACTGAAGTGGGCTAAATGGCTAATGATAACTATCAAAACGCCTGCCACTTGAAATAAATAAATAAATTTATAGTCAACAATTAAATTGCAAAATGGATTTAACTAGAGTGTCTTCCAGTACACGATAATAGTATTACCAGAACTCCTGAAAGAAAAAGCCTCTTTTGCAAGTTGCCCTTTTAAAAGACCAACCTCGATTAACGAATCCGAGTACCGTCGTATCCTTTGACCTTGGCCAAAGTGTTGACGCTAAATCTGGCATAACAGAAGACCGTACTACTGCTAAACAAAAGAGGACCAACAACTGTTGATTAATTAATGATTACAATGACAGTTACTAGTTATCAAGCCCCAAAGAGAAGGGCTAATTGCTTTTGTCATAAAAAAGAGAAGACAGTCTGAGCACGATTTATATCTGATGTAATAGATTAAATTTCTTGCATACATAGGACCCCATAAAGATAACTGAGAAGCGGTAATAAGCAATTCAAAATATTGGTACTTATTAAAGGCCAACAATGCCGATCGGTATTTAAAAAAGAACAAAAATTTACAGCAGAGCTTTTCATCCATCATTATTTATTGTGGAAATGGTTGGATACACACACACGCTCACAAAGCCTTAATCCATTTTAACTATCACACATCAATGCTGTGGGAAGAGAGGCCTATTCAAACGTTTTGGTCTGCAAAACCGACCTTTGGGGACACTCTGTACACCTCGTCCACGTACTTATCGATTAAAGTGCAAAGTTAGGAGCTGGGAGTAGAATCACAATAATGCTACAGAATCATTGGCGAACCAGGTGGCCAACCATTTCCGACATAATCGATTCAGTAAAGTGGAAGAATTGTCGCTTGGGCTGAGGGTCTCCTTTTTTCTTCACTGTGAACGCAAGTAACTGCATCCATCACAGCGAACAGCAAGGTCACGCAAGTGGTAACATAACTTTAAATTCTATTACAAAAAAGAAAACGCAGGTACAACGTTGCTTACTAGGTAAATTAACCACACTTCCTGACCTATTCACACCCCATTTGTTGCTTACCTCATTTTGTTTAGTTTGAGCAAGGTAACCGCATGAACGTTAGTGGATAAATTTGCCTGTTTCATAAGTCATAATCACGATGACTTACCTATCATCTGTACTATAGGCTTCATATTCCATTTTGATTTCGTTGATAAAGAGAATTTCCGAGAGTTTACGTCGGCCTTCCAACTCCCACGAGGATGATAGCTCAATCATGGCTCTCCTTCAACAGATATTTCCTAAATGCGAAAATAATTGCCCACTGAGATAGCAATTAGTTAATTGTCTCAAATTAGAGTTTAAAAGAATCCCAAGAGACACTGTCACCATTAAGAGAGCAATACTGTTGCCATCAAACTTGCCAAATTAGTACTGTCAGATGTTCCCCATTTTTTGCAATTGGCTATTTTATAACTTATTGATTAAGTTTGAGACAACAAAGATTATGAAATGTAAGTTCTCCTCGTGATAAGTTAGCATTCGAGGTGGCTGTCCGTAAAAAGGAAAACTACAGTGACACCAATTCACTCTCTTTTCTCTCAATAAATACTCCCCCTCCACCCCCC